AAAAATAAAAATTAAAAAAAAAAACTTTTTGTTTCCGTGACTCAGTATATATATTTATAAATAAATAAAAAAATTTACATTTTCTCTTGTTCATTCTCAGCAGTGTGTGCGTTTCAAAAAAAAAAAAAAAAAGGGGATAACCCACGTTCTTTCCACGTTCTTCATTTGTTTTTATTTTTAAAATTTCACACTTTCTTCATTTGTTTTCATTCTTAAAAGAAAATAAAAAAAAAATCTCACACTTAGAATTTGTTTTTTTTTCTTAATTTTTTTTTCCTTTTTAGTTTTAAAATTAATTATGATTTGATTTTGTAATCTTTTATTTTTGGAAAATTAGGATTTTATTTTGTTTCCTCATTTGTATATTTTAATTTTGCCTTATTTAAATTTTTTCTTTTATAGTTTCATTAACTCTTAGGATTATAACTAGGATTGTAATTAATTGACTAATTTAGATTCCTAATCTAGGATTTTCATAATTTGGTAGACTTAGGTTTTTGACTTTAGGAATAGTTTCCATTAATTAAATTACATTTCATAATTTACTCAATAAAATTTAATAATTAATTTTGAGAATAATTGTGTGGTTACGTGGAAAGTATAATCTGATGGAGTTCTGTCTAGGAAAGTTGGTACTTAAGCGGGCCTCGCCCCACCAATCTTTCCTGAGAACGTTGTTCTGTCTAGGAGACTATTTATTGAGCCAAGAGCTATAGTCTTTCCTGAGAGCACTCTCGGAGGTTACAATTTACGTTACTATATAATTGTTTTCTTTTTGAAAAAAAAAAAAAACAAAAGGGAAACGTTATAGGGGGAATGAATCGTTTTAGAGACGAATTAGGAAGATTCAAAATAAAACCGGAGAACCCTAGTAAAGTTTCTTCCCACACGTCTAGTCCTCCCTCGACCCCAGGCTCGTTAGCCGTTGCAAATCCGTTCGCAATGGCTCAAAACGAGGAAGTTCAGCAGAAGACGTTGAACGACTATCTCCACCCTACGCGTACAGCCACACCATCATGCATAATGTTTCCCCCAAATATGCCGAATTAGGATTTCAAGCCAGACATGATCCACCTCCTGCCGACCTTTCACGGGTTAGAGAGCGAGAATCCATACGTTCATATTAGGGAATTTGAAGAAGTAGTGGCCACTTTTCACAACCGAACTGAAGTCGTCGACGCTGTACGATGAAATTCTTTCCTTTCTCTTTGAAGGAAAAAGCTAAAAGCTGGTTGTATTCTCTGCGACCTAGGTCTATTGGAAGTTGGGAAGAAATGACGACATCATTTTTCAACAAGTATTTCCCTCACCATAAGACCAATGGTCTGAAACGACAAATCTCGACCTTTACCCTGAAACTCTGTATCAAGTTTGGGAGCGGTTCAAGGATCTGTTAAATCAGTGTCCTCACCATGGTTACAAGAGTTGGCACCTCGTCAGTTATTTCTACGAAGGACTCACGATTCGAGAGCGCCAATTTGTGGAGATGATGTGCAATGGTGAATTTCTCCAAAAGGATCCCGAGGAGGCTTTTGAGTATCTCAATGAGTTAGCTGAAAAAACCCACACTTGGACCGGACCTAGTGCTACTGACAGCACCAATAGGTCCCGATCGGTTGGAATCTATCAATTAAGGGAGGAAGACAACCTCAAAGCCCAAGTCGAATCTTTGACAAGGCAAATCGAGGCCCTCAAAGGCAAAGAAGGTAGAGGAATCCACACGGTTGCAGCAACAGGGGAAAAAGACTGTGAACTTCTCCTGCATGGCAGCATTTCATAGAGGAGCCCCGACCAAATCTAAAAATAGGTGAAATGGAAATTCGTGCGGTATGTAAGTATTGTAAACAACACTTTTCTAATAAAAAAGGTGGGGGTACTGGTCATCTCGATAGACATTAGAAAGTTTGTGTACCGTTGCACCAAGGTGGGAGTGTGGACTCTCGCCAACAAACACTATCACTCACATCACAAAGGTTGCAAAATTTTACATACGATGCACAACGTGCTCGTGAGACACTAGTTAAATTTCTAGCTAGTGCCGAATTATATTTTTTTTTACAGATGATGCGTCGTTCGAAGAATTCATACAGACAGCCTTCTGCCTACAATTTAAACAGGTAAGTAGAAACATAACTCGTTCTGATTGCATGAAAGTATTTTATGCAATGAGACAATCTCTTATTGATAATTTTAGGACTTTTAATGCTACTGTATCTTGTACTTCTGATATATGAGAATGGTGCAATAAAACTAGATATTTATGGGTCATGGCGCATTATGTTGATGATGAATGGGTTTTACAAAAAAGAATAATAGGTTTTCGTTTATGTCCATATCCTCATAACACATCAACTATTTTTGGTACAATAATGAAAATTTTTAGGTTTTATGGGATAGAAGATAAAGTTTTAACTATTACTTTTGATAATGCGTCAGCTAACATGGCTACAATTAACATGTTTAAACGTAGTTTGAAACCAACGTTTCGGAGGAAAATTTTTTATCAACGGTGTGCGTGTCACATAATCAATTTAGTAGTTCAGGCAGGAATTGAACATATTTCAGCTAATCTAACAAATATTAGAGAATCTTTATCATTCATATCTAGTTCTGGAGCTCGACTCCAAGAATTCAAATAATATTGTAGAAACAGTCAGAGACGCCCAAGAAAGTTTCCAACTGACGTGAGACATAGGTGGAATTCCACCTATTTAATGTTGAAGGCTGCACTCTCGTATTCACGGCTCATCATAACGTATGTAAATAGTAAGAACAATCAACTTTTCATTTTCGATACAGATTGGCAGATTGGTGAGTATTTTTTTTTAAATTTATAGAAGTTTTTTACAATGCTACTGAATTATTTTCTGGAGTTTATTATCCTACTGCATATTTAGCTTTACATCAATTATTTAATATTTCAGAAACATTTTCTTATTATAGGGATACAATACTTTTTAGAGACATAGTTAAGCTAATGGAAACTAAATTTAAAAGTTATTGGTCATGTTGTCCTATGTTATATGCATTAGCAATCATTTTAGATCTTAGGTGCAGAGTAGATAAGACTGAATCTTTTATGACTGCTACAACAGAAAATTTAGGTATTGATATGCAACTAATTATTACTGACGCTAGAAAAATGTTAGAAAATGTATTTGGTTGTATGAAGCAAAATACAGCACATGTAAAAAAGAACAGGGAACTTCGACGTCAACTAGCAGTTCGGGGCCTAAAGGATCATCGTGGAGTTTATTGAAGAAGAAAGAGAAAACAATAGGATCGTCATCAACACAAGCGTCTACCGAACTGGTAAAATATTTTAAATTTTTTTTTGTAATTGATGACGACAAACTAGACATCTTACAGTGGTGGAAGAGCAAAACTGCTCGTTTTCCAGCACTGTCTGTAATAGCTCGTGATATTCTGACAATTTCAGTGTCAACGGTAGCATCAGAGCAAGCATTTAGTGCAAGCAACCGAATTCTTGACGAGAAGAGAAGCATAATGCATCCAGATATCTTAGAGGGGCAAATGTGCGTTAAAGACTGAGAATATGCCATAAGACGAAAACAACAATACATAGATGATTCAATGCAAGACTATTTTTTTAACTTAGAAATAATAGAATCTTCTAGAAGCACTTAGGTTTTGTAATTTACTATTCCTAGAATACTGCACTCTTTTTTGCTTCATTAAGGTTTTGTCCCGATCTCTCCATGGGTTTTACTTGGCAAGGTTTTTAATGAGGTAGTCATTTATTTGTACTTATTCGTATTATCTCAATTTAATAAAATCACATCTTTTAGGGGCATATAATATATATATTTAATTAAATTTTAGAAAAAAAAATTACAAGGGCTAGGGCTCGCCCGTGAAGGGCCTGGGCAGGCTCGGCCCTGGCCTTTATGGATTAAGGTCGCGGGCCTAGACTGGGCCTGAGATTTTCTCTTCATGCCCGGCCCTGACACATCCCTGGACTGTGCAGAGTGCAATGTCGTGCCAGGCACAATCCAGACCCGCCACAGGCCTAGGGTCGGATGTGTCATATCGGCCTGACATGACACGTTTAACATCTCTAACCTAGAGATGTCAAATGGGCCAGGGCGTCCATGGACGGCCCGACCCAACCTGTAATAGTGCCGGGTTCGGTACGGCTCGGTCCGCTACTGTTACGGGCCGTGCCGGCCCGACATGTGTAATGGGCTAGGGCTGGGCCTCGGCTTCTCAGCCCGCGACCCAAGCCCGGCCCTAGTCCGTTAAGGCCCGCGGCCCAGCCCAAGCCCAGTTCGGCCCAAGCCTGGATTCGGCCCTAGTTCGGCTCGGCCCAGGCCCGTGAAAACGGCCCATTCTAAATGATACCGTTGGGCCTTCGCGGGCCCAACGGTCAGCCCATGACGGGCCTCCCGTTTGGCCCGTGACAGGCCTGTCGTTAGGCCCGTCACGGGCTGCCTGTTGGGCCCGCGAAGGGCCTAACGGTAAGAATCTGAAAATGCTCAAAAAATTCTTTATAAATACCCCTCAATTTCACCATAAATCCCACATAACAATTCACTCTCAACTTCTCATCTCACTCTTATTCTTATTATGTCAATTCAATAAATTTTGGGGGTATATAATATATTTTCTTTTTTTTAATTAAATTTTAAAAAAATTCAATTTGTTAGGCCGCCCCGTGAAGAGCCTGGGCCCTAGCCCTTATAGACTAGGGCCGCGGGTCTAGACCGGGCCTAAGTTTTTCTCCTCAGGCCCAGCACAGACACGGCCCTACACTGTACAGGGCTGTTTCAGGCCCGACCCAAGTCCGTCACGGGCCTGATGTTGAACGTGCCGTGCCAGCCTAACACAACATGTTTGACACCACTACTCTAACCTAAATTTTACTTTAGTTTTTAATTTTTTAAACGTCACATAATTAATTTTTTAATGTTTTATTTTAGTTTCATTCATTCTGTTAAATATTTAACGGAACGTCAGAATATGTAGAAATTATGAAAAAAAAAAACCTTCCTTTCCTAACGCAAATTTGCAGACCCAATCCCTAATTTGCAAATCCATCTATCATACCCCAACTTAATTTGCAGAGCCACCAGCCACCACCTCCCGGCGTCGCAAGCCAGTTTCACCCCACGGTATCCCGCACCCCGCACACCCAACTTCTCCCCTCTCTCCGACAGAAGCTCTCTCTTCCAACGGCGCCCGCGCGAAGACGGCGTCATCTCGCCTATCCTCCGACTGCAGTCCTCCCCCACGACGGCGCCGGCATAATGGACTCCGTCACGGACTTCGTCAAGAGACCCACTGATTAATGGGAGGAAGAGCATGGGATTTATGTCGGTAGGTTTGATTTTCCGTTGATTGTGGCTCCGGGTTTCCACTTCTTCATTATCTTGTTGCCCGTTCATCAAAGAGACTAAATTCGCTGAAGATCTCCGATTACATGCGTTTAAGAATACCCAGACTTCTTCAAAAACAGGTTTCTCCCTAGTCTTTTTTTTTTTGAAAAGGGAAATCTAGTTTATACTTTATCGTTATTACTAATATGATTATTGTTATCGTTAATATTTTCTGAATTTTGTGTAAGTTATTATTATGTCTACAATTTGCAGAGTTCATATTTGTCACGAGAATATAGAAGAGGTGTTTGGGGAAGAAGAAAATGAAGGAATTTTCGAGGAAACAATAGATTCGGAAACTGGAGCAAACAAAACCATAATCTCATTCACTTTTTTCTCTCTTGATTCCAAAATCACCCAGTTTAGGGATTTGGATTTGCTTGTTTCGAAATCAACCAGTTTAGGAATTTTGATAATTTGAAGGTTGGTTTCTGGGTTGTCTGAATTCTTTGGAATTGTTGATTGCAAGGAAAATTTGATAATTTGAAGGTTTCTGAGTTGTCTTAATTCATAAAATTTGATAATTTGATAATTGTTGCTTGAATTGTTGGTTTCTGGGTTGTTGAGACTCTGAGGAGTTTTGGATTGCGAGGAAAATTCATGATTTTAAGGTTGGTTTTTACTTTCTGGGCGTACTAAACTATTGTTCTTCATTCTCAAAGAAAAAAAAAAAAAACCTATTGTAGAACAATAGTTATATATTTATTTATTAATATAGGATACAATTCGGTGTGAATGAGACTACGTAAACCTTCACTAAGATTTAATATGGATCGTTGGATTTTTCCCTACCGGTAGGGGGGAAAAGCTCCCCCTACCATAGACATGCCCAAAAAATATAATAGAAACAGGCCTAAATTGTAGGCTAAAACTTTGGGGCCTTAAGCCTGCCTTAGAGTTAAGTCGGCTCTGTTCTTTAGGAATGTTTTATGCCCATTCATGAATTAGAATCTATCAGAAAGCATATTGCAGTGTTTTTTGCCAGAGGTCAATCAAAAAGAGGTTGGTGTAGTTTTGTAGAATCTGCATGTCATGGATCATTGGATATGAAGTGTCCGAGTTGGATAATATGTGTTACTTAGTTACATTTGTGGCTTGTTTCGTTCATATGTTTGAACAGAAATTCAAATGTGTTTAAATTTTTATGCAAAAGAGGTTTGAACTTAATAATTTTTCAGTTCAAACCTGTGAAACAAACGAGGGTTTGAATTTGTGTGGTTGTTAATCTTACGGCACTGTCACTGTGTATTTGGCTAAAGTTTGTCTTAGCTTTTGTAGCTTACCTGTTCATGAGAATAAAAAAGGAAGAGATGGACGTGTCGAGGACGATGTAGAGGATGCAGTGGTAACAATATGCTTCACTTTTTATATATTTTAGTTTGAAGTTATTTCTGAAAAGAACAATAATGTGGAATATTATAATGGTTTTATACTCTTGCAGGATAGAGTACTGTTATTGTTAATGCTCTTGAAACATTGGGTTCCATAAACTAGGCTTATTGGTTTTTTAGCTGATAAACAAAGTGATGGAGACTGAAGTTCCCAATGAACGTCAAGGAGGGATGCCGGGGATTAGGGAAAATGGCTTTCTATTAATGCCCGTATCGCCAGAAGAGTTTGGTGAGGGTCTGCCTTATGCTCCTGAAAATTGGCCTAATCCCGGTGATACTTGGGGTTGGCGGGTCGGAAAAAGAGTTTCTCAATCTGGCAACTTTCTTGATAGGTACCTGTATCTTCCTAAGCATCTTCCCCGCTGTGATTCAGGGGGTAAGGGAGCTTTTGCTTTTGCAAGCAAGCTTTCGGTCGAACGCTATATCCAAACAACATTTCCTGGTGCAGATGTTAATGCATTTTTTGCATCATTCAGTTGGAAGATCCCTGCAAGAGGAAGATCATTAACAAATGGTCAGCTGTAATTCCTTCATTGCTATTTTCTGTTTGATATTCTTTTCAATCTCCTTAAGAAAAAAACTATTCATGTTAACGTGAAACCATGAGATATCAACTATTCGTTACTCGTTAGAAGTCAGTACTATTTCCTCAAGGTAATTGCAGTAACTTGGAAATCTGAAGTAATTAATTGGATTTCTGGTGTCAACTTTGGGAAATCTGTCAGTCTCTAAAGGCTTTCAGAGACTTATTATTTTCCAACTGTGATTACTTTCCATCTGTCACGATTCATGTGATTATCACAGTTGTAACGATTGAATCATGCCCCTTTGCAAAGTAGTACGTATTGTTTAAACAATTTAAATAGTGCATGCTTATATGTGCAATGTAAAGGTAATTTGCTGTTAACATGCCTTAATTGTCTAAGTATGGTGTACTTTAATCCGAACAGGGAACAATATAATTAGCCTATCGATTGAAGAGCGTCTAGAACAGTTTCTCTGTGATTCCAACTCTGATAATGGGGGTTGTAAGGCTGGAAATAAGATGTGCAGCAGTCTAGCAGAGCAAGTGGAAAATTCTCCTTTGGGAGTAATGGTTTGTGACCTCTGCTGCAATGAACCTCGATTCTGTCGTGATTGTTGTTGCATTCTATGTTGCAAGACTGTGGATTATAGCCATGGAGGTTACAGTTACATTAGATGTGAAGAAATTGTTGAAGAGGGTGGTATATGTGCGCATATTGCTCATCTTAACTGTGCTCTGCGGTCTTATATGGCTGGGAAGGTAGGAGGAAGCATTGGGTTGGATGCTGAATACTATTGCCGGCGTTGTGATGCAAAGACAGATCTGGTACCACATGTTACCAGGCTCTTGCAGACATGTAAATCTATTGATTCTCGGCGTGACATTGAGAAAATTCTAAAAGTTGGTATCTCCATTTTGCGTGGTTCGGAGAGAATTGGAGCGAAGAGGTTGTTCAACCGTATTGAATTGGCCATTACAAAGGTAAATATGATCTTTTTCAGTTACATATCAAAAGAGTATCTTTCTTGCTTTAGCAGCTATTCTTGGTCCTTGCATGGTTTTTATTTTTATTTATTTATTTTTATAATTAAAGTTATTTGCATCGTTATTAATTGTTTTCATCAGCTTAATTGTGGAACTTGTCTTGAAGATATTTGGAAGGTGGAAGACGATTTCTTAGCTCTTTCCACAGGTAAATCTCCCAAACTCCTGTACATTTCCATTAAAAAAAAGTCTACAAGAAAAGGAGCCAATCTCATTCCCATATAATATATTGGAACAATCACCGTGCTTGAATATGGCATGAGAATATGGTTTATTTACTTTCTGCTTGAAGGTTTCTGTGCAAGAATATGGTTATGTAAGAACTAATATCCAATAAAATGCCTCTAGAAAAGTTCAGTCCGAATGTTGATGTTTCTTACACTATTGATAAACGTACCCATACTTACACCTCTAGCCTCCACTGACCTTTCTCTCAACCTAAGATCGTGGACATAGGATTACCCAATATCTTTCTTTTTCTTTTTTTTTTTTTTTTTTTTTTTTAAAAAAACAAAAAAAACCTTTTTTGGTTTTCACAAAATTGAAATAAAGTGCGTCAAAAAAAAAAAAAAAAAGAATCTAAAAACTAAACTAAAATACGAAATACAACAGCCAAAAAACTACATTAAGGCCACCACTGCATCATCTGCTTCGATACCCGAATGTCTTCCCAACTTCACATAATTAATGATAATGGAAAGCCTTTAAAAGTGTCTGTTGTCAGATTGCAGTGTTAATATTATTTTTGTGAAACTCACTCTGGGCAATGGACTTTGTGATCGTATTCAGATATCATTGGTGATGAAAATGCTGCAATGGAAGTTGTAAGCCACCTAGAACCTATGGATGTTCTAACGGACTCACCGAATGTGCCTGTGTCTTTCGATTGGCAAACTGAGTCTCTCAAGCTGGAAGAAGAGGTTGATCAGGTTCTGCAGGCACTGAGAAAGTCGCAAGAGATTGAATACAAATTGGCTGAAGAGAGACTTTATGCCCAGAAGGACTATCTTGCTAGTCTGTATCAGCAACTTGACATTGAGAGATCGGAATTGACCCGTCACATAACATCAACTAAACAAGGTGGCTTGCTGAGTGCTGTCTTGAACAGAGTGGATCAGATAAAACGGGAACTTGCAAAATTCAAGGATATGAAAAAGGTTGCCAGCGGATTTGGAAAGACTGATCAAGGAATCCTGGAGGAGCACTTTGATTTAGAAATTAAGGGGGTGAAGTGAATCCTTATGTGCTTTTGCAATTGCGAATTTTGGATTCATCAGTTCGTCAAACTTTGGCCTTGAACCATCATCTTCAGTTTTTTAATCAAAACACCCGTGTAACTTTCAAAAGTTGTCCACTTGCCCTTGTCCGAGCTCTTATGTGTCAGCACAAGCATGAACAAACATCATTGGTCTGCTCACGAATGGTGTTACGTCGTGACGTGCAAAACTGAAGGGTGAAATCAGGTGATGGCTTCTGTGTTTTCCTCTGCTGAGCAAGAGTGATCGGATGTCACGACTACTAGGTTGTCAGTCAGGTTTTCGCATTTGAAGCGGGGTTGAGAAGCACTTGCAAGGGACCTTTCAAACGCCTTTTTTGAAGTGTGGAGTTGACCCAGAGTGGGGGTTTGTATCTGCTGAGCTTGGCTCACCAATTTTGTCTTCGTTTTATATGAATTAGATTAGCCCTTGCATTTCTCGACTCAAAAGGAAACACTTTTGTGGTAGTAAATGTGGTTTATGCGTGAGAGAGACCAGGCCAACATTTCTTTTCCGAATTGTCTACTCTGAAAAGGGATGGATGAATCTTGTGTGTCGCTTCCAACTTCTTGAGATTTGTCACAAATGAATTCAACTCGAACCTTCAATTCTCTCTCTCTCTCTCTCTCGCTCATTTTTTATTCATAATTTGGGTTATTTTATCATATTTTTTCACGTATGAAATTATTGACCATGAAGGTTTGCATGTTGATCCTTTCGTTCTTTTCGTGCCTCAAGTCTTTTTGCAACGCAGTTGTCTCAGTTGGAACTGTGTGTCCCACTTGCATGGAATTGCGCCATCTAATCGGCACACCACAATAATTAATTCGAATTCCAAAAGTTTCCCATTTTTGCTTTGATATTGTATATCTTCCATGCCTAATTCTGCCTCCTCCCTCCCACACCACACGCCTAAAGCCTAAGGGGGCATTGGAAGTATTTTTTTTTTAATTTTTAATTTTTTCGGTAGAAAAAAAATACCAACTCAAGACTAGGGGCATCCTCTTATAAGTAAGTTGTCTGAATTGCTCACATTTCTCTCCCGCTCGCTAAAATGACATACCACGGCACAAACATTTCTTTTTCTTTTAAAATTTGAGAGTGAAGACATTCGAACTCTACATTTGTGGTGGAATTTTTACCAAATTATCTCCATACTAAGTAAAGCGTTTATTATTATTATTATTATTATTATTATTTTTCCATTCAAATAAAAGAAAAAAAAAAGAGAGAGAAGACAATATAAAGTGGCCAAAATACAAGGAGTAAAACGTGAGAACTCATAACCAAAATAAAAAAAAAATTATAATAATGATAATAAAAAGAGTGATCTGAACAGAAAGGAGAAAATTCCAAAATCTGGTAAGTCCAACCGTCTCAACTGTCCAATCTCATTAGACGAGGCGGTCCAATGGCATTCTCCCTAATATTCACAATGTTACATCTAACTTCCATCTTTTTTGCTTTTCCATAAAATAAAAAGTACGACACAAAACATAAAAAAAAAAAGAAAAAAGTAATTCAACTCTCCTCCCTCTCTCACTGCCACTTCTCAACCATGCGTCCACGGTGGTTGTAAGGTTTTCGTGAATCTTATTATAACATTATTATATCATTATATTTCCCATTTGACATAAATACCCTTACCAATCATCATTTAGATATATATATATATATATATTCTTATGTTGGAAGTGACATGCCTTTACTACCGAATTTTAATCCATGAGATTACAACAAATTATATGTTCTCTGTCATTTCCGATTACTTGATAATTTCCAAAAGCACAATCCCGTTTTTTATAGGCTTATAAATCGTGTCACAAAATAATCCATCTTTCTTAAAGTATGCACATCTAATGAACTTTTAAACATACAATGGTCTTAAAATTGCATTTCCTGTGGCATGATACTAAAATGTAACTTTCAGATTTGGTCAGGGGCTTTTGGTCAATGCAATTGGAATCCAGAGGCAGGAGTGGTAGTTTGCATGGAGTAAATAGCTAGATCACAAATCTCAACTCTCCGAAGTCCCTTTGAACCGTTTTGCTTTATTCTATTTATCATTATTTCTTTAAATTGAGCACAAAAGAAATATTTCGTATTGGCTAAATGACCCATTTGCTCTTTTTTGCTTATTCAATTTAATATTTTTATTTCCTAGTGGGAAAAAAAAATGAACAGACCAAGCTATGGCCATTAAGGAATTGCATTGCATATTGATATAGTGGTTATATGCATTATTGCATTACCAAATTATTCATTTTCAGTTGCTTAACAGTTTAACGGATTTTTCCAAAGCCAAATCTTATCTCCCTTTATTCACAAATTTTTTTTTTTTCAATTTACTAACTTTTTAGCTTTAAAAGGAGTATTTACACAATGAATTTTAAGTCAAATATAGTACATAAAATCAAAGAGTTGGCATATTTTTGTAAGATGTCATTTTTGGAGATAGTAGTATATAAAAAGCAAAACAAGAGGAAAAAGTAACCAAGAATCTTCTTCTTCCCCAATGTTATTTCAATAAGAAAAAGGATAGGAAAAAAAAAAAAGAGAGAAAGAGAGAGAAATATAAAGGAAAGAAAACCAACAAAAGGTTGGCAGAAGTGTAGGAAGTGAAACTGAAACACAACACAACCCAACCCAACCAAACAAACATCATGCAAACCTCTGTTATTCCAAAATGTTTGGTTTGTATGTTTTTCATTTTTTTCACTCCATTTCTTCTCTTTTAGTTTTTGCCTCTCTCTCTAAAATTAAAAATTTTCATGGATTCTACTTCTAAGACTAAAACCCATTTCTTAACATCTCTCTTAGTCTTCAACAACACCATCAACCGAGGTACAAACAATTCTCTCTTCAATTTTTCTCTTATCTTTTTTTTTTCATCAACAAAAAGTTTTGATTTTTGGATGTTTTTCTTTCTTTAATTGCAGAGTTGATGAGAAGCTTGCATGTGTACCGATTGATGAACGGGAAGGAAAGTGAAGTGGAGAGAGAGAGAGAGTTTGTGTTCTCGGCAAATGGGCCCTACGTGGAAATGGCTGTGGACCCACTTCTCAGATTGCTCAAGTTTAACAATCCTACTACTTCTGAGGTGTTTGAAGGTTTTGTCAATGGCTTGTGGATCTGCATTTTTGCCTTTCATGCCCATCCTCACCATCTCTCTTGCAATATTCCATCCATGATTTCTCTCTCTAGGTAACCCCACTTTTTAATTTGAGCTTTTTTTTAACCAATATAACAGATTAGTTTACCAACTAAGTAGCCTTAAGTCATTTGGTGATGCAAAGTCTATTGTTTTACTTGATCATAACATCTGAAGATTTATTTCTTTATTTTTTTGGTGGTTCCTCTAATTGATGCTTCTAAATGAAATGATTTTTGATAATCTTGAGGCTTTATCTTAATTTGACATTTACCCATTTGCTATGTTATAATCTATTTTTCTATTTTAAGCCATTTGGTGAGTTGTGATTCAAATAAGTCTCTTTTTTGTTTAATCAGAACTTGTGACCATTTTGCTTTTTTGGTTTGGAATTAGACTCCCTTGTATATGACGCCTTTGAATAAAACCCACTTGGTATTTTAGAGACAGTCTTTGTTGGAGAGATATAGGAAAAAGCGAAAATTTCTTAATCATAGGCACTTATAATACCTAGGCCTCTATCTAAGGCTGGATTTTATAGAATTTTTGGATGTGATATCATGGAAACAGAGGATTTTGACTCAACTAATGAGGGACATCCAAAAGGTTTTATGTCATAGGTTTTGTTCCTGACGAGTTCTAACCTGGTCTGCTCTCAACCAAGTCTAACGACTAACCACAGACAGTGACAATCCCATCAGTAATTTTATTATTATTATTTTTTTATTTTTTTAAGAATCCTGGATAGTATTACCGGATAACGCTTCGAATCCTTGAATTTCCATCTCGCACCACCGAGTGTTGTAGCCTAGTGGTAAAGGGTTATTATGGTTGGGTTTGGGTGGCCATCTTCAGGGTCTTAAATGTGAAGGCTTGTCGTACCAACTTAGTACTTGATTTTGGTGGGTGGATACTAAGTACTAACTGAGCTGCTTGTTGTTAGGGCAGCTTTACAACATTCCTTTGGAAAACAAAACGAAGAATTTATTTTGTCCGAAATGAGATTTACTTTGTGTTTTCTATTGCTAATGATTCCTTCTATCTTTTTCGTTTTTAATCATCCAGAAATCCCAAGCTGATGTCAATCCCATCACTGGCTAATGATCTTCAAATGATTTTCCGATTGAACTCCATATCAGATGACAAAGAGCCTTCTCGAGTTTTACCCCAGGGAACATGTCGAAGGAACAATGAAATTCACCATCAAATAAGGATAAATTTTCCTGTCCTTGATCAAGATCTCAATTGCCTTCCTTATCCAGTTACAAAGTCTGATTTGTCGGATGATCAACAAATAGAGCAAAGTTCATCAGGTTTTTTTTTTTTTTTTTTTTTTTTTTTTTTTTTCTTCCTTATCCAGTTACAAAGTCTGATTTGTCGGATGATCAACAAATAGAGCAAAGTTCATCAGGTTTTTTTTTTTTTTTTTTTTTTTCTGTCTCATTGCTATCTATTGTCACCTTTTGTTGCAAATTGGGGAAGGTGAGATATGTCTCATCCCCAAATGTTGCCAAGGAAAGAAGATTTTTACGAACAATCACAATGTCCGCAAATTCTGAAGTTTTAATATTTTTATGTTTAAAGCTTCGGTGTGGATTTTCCCCATAATCAACAGACTTACTTATAAATGTGAAACCTAAAAGTTTGATGTATTTCTTACAATCCTAACTATTGTTAATTAATCTTTTTCAGCTATTTTCTGATTTTGATTTGTATGCAACTCATTATCTAGACGCCAAAAAGATTCCATACGAATATGGTACTAAAGAAATAACTTTTGTCCTTTGGAAAGAATTTCTCATAGTTCTACTATGGTTTTTCATTTTTTCATTTGGATATTAGAGTTGTGGCACGATATTTTGTATCTCACAGGCAGAAGGTTGCAGCGGCAGGTATAGTGGAGAAGAAGAAAAAGAGGGCAGCCAGCAAAGACATAGCAAGAATCGCTTTATCAGATCTGGCCAAGTATTTCGATCTTCCTATTACAGAAGCTTCGAAAAATTTGAAAGTTGGACTTACAGTCCTCAAGAAGAAGTGCAGAGAATTTGGCATCCCTCGTTGGCCCCATAGAAAGATCAAATCCCTCGACGGTCTCATTCATGATCTTCAGGTCTTTCCTCTCATTGTTTATAACATCCAATTACTATAGAAATAAGGCTTTGGCTCTGTGCCTTTTTGGGGCCACAGAACTTACCAGTAAGTGCACTTGTTGGAGGAAACCGAGAATAACACATTGACATTCTAGCAACAATAGACATGGATGAATCCATATTACATTTGTGAAAAGGAAATCTTTTTTTATTATTATTTGTTAGATTTACATGATCATCAAGAATAATTTTATCACAAACGCAAATGCATCAAAATACTGTAGGTTCTGTGAAAATGAAACTACTGTTTTGTCCTGTCGTTTTTTCTTTACTCCTAACAAGATGTTATATTTTAGTTTATAATGTGTTTGCATGAATAGGAGGAGAGGAAGTGCCAGCAGCAAGGGAACAAGGCTGCAGAGATAGCGGTGGCGAAGAGGCAAAGGATGTTGGAGAGTGAAAAGGAAAGCATAGAGAGGAAACCCTTCTTGGAGATGAAATCCGAGACCAAGAGGTTCAGACAAGATGTTTTCAAGAGAAGGCACAGAGCCAGAGTCCTTAGGACTCAGGCCCTTTCAATCTCTAGCACTTAGAACTTTTTATACTTAAAAGAAAAAAAAATTCAACCTTGTTTCATGATGTTAAGAGTTGCCAACTTTCCATCATCTCAACCACATATCTTTTGAGCCTACTGTTCCTATTAAAAATATGCAAATTTAACGAAACTTAATGAAGATGAGCCGATTCAGTGCAGCACCGGTAGGCGGTAAGGTATTTTTCACACCCTACCAAAGTATTCTCCTAACTCACAAAAAACTTTTCAAAGGTTACCACAGGGATTTGAAGTTTCAAGGCAATGGACATGTCATTGGACTTGCAATGTAAAAGCTTAGAATGTTTTTCGGCTTCAGAATTCATATCAAGCTAATCCTAGTGTACATTTAACATGCATTCACCCTCTCATGACGATAATTTAAAGTGCATTTTGCTTGTTGGATTGTTGTGCTCTTTTCGGCTTTCCTCAAAAGTCAAAAAGAATATGAACACTTGGATTGATTATAATTTATAATTGGCAAGACAAAAGCAATAGTCCTGTTTTTCTATTTCTTTTTGGCTGCTTTTTAGTTGACCCTTTTTGGTAGTCTGGTCAACTTCATACACGGGATATCCACCACCTTCTTATAATTCGTTTTTAAGGTCAACTTCTGGTCAGTGCCACCTCAGTGCAAAGGGCATAGTTATATATGTATAATGCATAGGTATATATTTTTCAAAATTTTCCCCCTTAAGATTAAGTTAAAGTGAATTTTTTCGATGTTCAACCTTGTATTATTAGGACTTACAAAAGTTTTCATTCAGATTGTCAATCCTTTTTATTTTTTATTTTATTTTTTGCTTATATAGTGGGATAAAATTTCAAGTTTATCTTGACAATAAGGTAGAATTTTAGGGAATTGGCAATTTGAAAGGTTACTTTTGTAATTTCAAAGAATGCGAAGTTGAATATAGCCTTAAACTTCTTAAGGGAGAATCTTGTAATTTTCCCTTTATTTTCTCGGATTCTTTTGAGCAAACACGATTTTCGGCCATTCATTAAGGGTAATGCAACGTTGTTAAAAATGTGTAAACCATAATGGGGGATTTTGATTGATTTCTTTTGAAAGTCTAAAAGACAAGTGTAAATGGAAGCAAAATGTTGGCTATATTTGACTCCTTTTAGAAGTGTGCTTTGATGGAAGACAAGTCCTAATTGATTGTTATTTTCTTATCTATTTATTTATTTATTTATTTTTTTGGTGTTTACTAAGCATAATAGACAAATCTCATTTGATATCCTTCCCTTTCAAGATTACATGTTGAATTTTCAATAACTTGGATTTGCTTTTTTAAAGACCACAAACTGCCAAAAGATTAGGTTCCTAAGCACAGGAAAAAAGCACATCTTAAGCAACTTTATTAAATTTAAATATATATACATACATATATATATATATATATATTATCCTAGAAAAGTCTGAATAACATGTGATGTTACTAATTAAAACTTCTCCCAAGTCACAAGTTACCAATACAAAATTACTTCTATTTGTTTGGTTTCTCACCACCAAACAAAAGGGAAAAAGAATTAGATTAACACTTGGATTATCACCACCAAACAAAAAGAGAAAACATTAACCTACTTTCTGTCCTTTAATAATTTAGACACAAGAAAAACAGACGATCAAATGATAAAATGTAAACACAAGAAATCTATAGATATAATATCCATTTCCTTTATAAAGCGTTCTTCATGAAGGAAATTCTTAAGGGTGGACATTTAAAGGAAAAAAAAGAAAAATTGAAGAGAGTAGGCCCTGTTCACTTCGCTGATTCGAGTTTAGAATTTGAGTTTTTTTACAGTAAAAAGCTCTCACAAACAATCACATCTAACTTTTTTGTTACAGTAAAAAGCTCTCACATAAAGTCACATCTCAACTCGAATTCTAAACTCGAATCAGCGAAGTGAACGGGGCCTTAATATTGCTTATGCAATCTCATTTTCTGGTTTTGATCAAACTTTATAACTCAGTGCAAATGCAAGTAAAGAAAGCTAAAAGCTGCAGGTAATTTCAAGATACCATAATTTTATTTTATTTTTTGACTTGGGATGGAAAGATTCCAAATGTAGATTTCAATATAAGAAGTGAGTATGGATTTATTATCAGACTATAATTGAAACCGAGTAAAATAGCATAGAATTCTTTTGTTCCACTATAGTACTTTATTGAAATACTCCTCTCTAAAGTCCCTTTCGATTGCTTATCACATTTTCCATTTTAGTATCCATACAGCACTACTTGATTCAAAAGTATATTTTGCTCTTTCC